AAGTGACAGACTTTGGAATGGCTAGAAATGTGCAAGAGGAAAATATTTATGAAAAGAAGACAAAGGTAATTGAGAAATAGGCTTAACCTCACCATATAACAGTTATTTATCCTTGTGGGGACAAACATGTGAGAGGAGAACGTTGTAAAGAATACAATGGTGAATTAGAAAGATGTATTTTGCATTTTCTTATCTCTATGCCAATATTAAAATGATCCCACGCATTCTGCATTTGGTATGAAAGGGTCGCCTTCCAGTGAAGTGGACAGCTTATGAGGCGCTGTTATATGGCAAATATACGACCAAAAGTGATGTGTAAGTCTAACCTCTTTCATTGACTTTGGCTATGTTCAATAATTCTAAAAACAGTTATTCAATCGCTATTGTTAAAAACAGTTATGCTGTTGAAAGTTAAACCATGCATGACTACATATCTATTGTCTTTTTCAGTTATTCAATTTTTAGAAGTGTTTTTATTGTCTCTTAGATGGAGTTATGGAGTTGTCCTCTACGAGATTTTTACAATAGGTAATGCGTCAACATACGATGATAGTTCTCGATAGCGTAAGTTTAGGCAGCAACATAGAAGGTCTTTCACCCACAACTTTCTGTTTTATGATTAACTTTCCGTCTTTGTTTTAATGGTATTTAGCAGATTGTAGCTTTACAACTGAGCTGGGACTTTTGATTTCAAAGATAAGAATCTCCCAAATAAATCAGGAAAAGGTTGAAAATTTAACGTGAGTTGAATGATTGCTTTTCGGGATGAAGTAGAATTTTCATTCTTTCATTTAGGTCGTAATCCTCCCCTTTCCTACTGCTTACGAAAGACACCGAAAAAACTCTTTCGAGGTTGATGCTTCATCACTTAGTTTCTCTCTGAACTTCGAAATCTCCTCATACTTTTGGGGAATTTTGAAATGGAACCAAAGTAACAGAATCGCGATTTGGAGAAAAAATTCTTGACTAGAATTCTAAAACAGGAAGTTGAGGACATATAAAACCGTCCTTCAATTGACATCAGTGTAAGAAACTCTTAAGTTTTTGTACGATTTGTCACTTTTATTTTCCTGGGCTCAATATATATGATTTATTCGTTCTTCGCCATTCGTGAATATAACAGGTGTACACCAAGGATGAGCTCCACCTTTGTTGCTGCTAAAATGCTGTGGAACGCTTTATGCATCTCGGAAACCATTTCATATCCAAGTCACTTACTACAATGTACTTCCTTGATGCCTCTTTCGCTATCTTTTAGTCAATTTTGTAAAACATCTTTTACATTTTCCAATCAGGACTTCTTATATAAATTTACATTTTTATCAGTCTATTCAGTGAAAGAAATACCCAAAAAGCACTTAAGAAGGCCTTTTGTAGCCTGCAATAGTATTATTTATTGACCACATCTATCAAATAAATATTTTTATCTGTTGATTTGAAAGAGTATATTGCCCCTTATAAAAGACCTTTGCTGTTGTTATAAGTTATTGATGTCCACTTCTTTCATTAAAAGCTTTTCTCCTTTCAGGTGGTTCGCCTTATCCACGGATGGATGGCAAGAAAATTGCAAACTTACTTCAGCAGGGATACAGAATGCCCAAACCTCAGCACGTCGATGATAAGCTGTAAGCTTAATTTTAAAATTGTCAAATCAACAATTTCGTAACTGTACCATGGAGTGGTGGAATTATGTTTTCCAGTTTAAGTCGTTCTCATAAATATGCTGACGCGATCTCTTGTACCTTAAAACCTCTAGCTCCTGATGATTGTTGCATGCTGAAATATCAAATCATGTTTTTATTTTCCATTGGGAGTATAGAAATATGAATGTTTTTTAAAGATATTTTCATCTAAAGGTCGTAAGGGACGGCAAATTGAGCTTCCCAAGCCAAGAAAGACTTCATCGTGTAATCTCATAACACGCGTATGTTTGTCAATTGGTTATATACTATTTATGATGTGAAAGGATTTACCTGAATCATGATTTCGTAATCTTAAGGTATGAGATAATGATGAAATGCTGGCAAGATGACCCCAAGAGGAGACCGACATTTATCGATCTAAGAAATCAGTTGAAAGGCATGGAAACATCACATAAGGTGGAACTACTCTATTTGTCTACCTCATAAATAAATTCATCTTTGAAAAACCTGTCGTTAACTCACCTGAAAGGCAGATTTCCTGCCAATTTCCACGACTAGAATTCAAAAAGAAGTCTTAAAAACAAGTCTGGTGTAATCGGTTTGTATGCCTTTCCTGTTTTCGTCCGCAGAGGCTGATCAACATGAGGATGTACGACAACAAGTTATATGGAAACATTGAAGATTTGGTCGAATAGACAACTTGCGAAACGTCATTATCGTTGATGGAAGCGTATACTTTTAAGTTTACCCATTTTTTAAATTTTTTTTACTCCATGATACTCCCTTACAATAAGCTATAAAATGCGGGGTAAGAAGAAAGTATGTAAAAAAATGCGGCCTTTCAAAAGCCATTGAGGTAAATAAATAAATTCGATCTTTTTGGGTTCAGATTTGAACAACTACTGTCAAAATTGTCACTTTTTCATAATCATTTCCCGGGACATATTTTGGTAGTTTGTGGTGAGACATTCAGATGATTTATTACTTTATATAAATATCAGGTCTCTTTTGCCTTTCATCATCCAGTTTCGCGGCCACATAGAATTTTGAATATAATGTCAATTATCCAGTGTCTCCTTATTTGCTGAAAGCTCATGCCCTGTAGGTTGACTGATAATAATGCATTTGTACAAGAAAATGGTTTGTAGTTGGTTCGTGCAGTGTAGTGATAAGTGTAATATTAAAATTCATGGTAGTGATAGATCTCTGTTTGACAGTAATACTTATGAGATCTGTTGTTAGTTCAATCTCTTCGCTATCAACACTGGTAATGAATTATCAAATTGCAAACTTAAAGGCAAGGTAATAGATTACAGAAAAGGCGAAAAAAAGGACGATGCATTTGCACACAGTTTGAAACTAGAATTCTTTTACCTCTCAATAATATTATTCAACTATCACTACCATGAATTTAACCCGAATCGGGTGGGAGAGGCCCATTTTCCGTGATTCAACATGTTCATATAATTTGGAAATGTAATTTGTAACTCAATTCGATTATCGATATTAAGCCTACAATCAGCGCGCATTAAAATTAGTCCTATTTATGCGTACAATACTACACTCTAAATCATCAACAAGACCTCCCTCCCCCATTCAACTGTTGCCTGTAGCTTATGGTT